AACATCGTGTTGGAAAAAAAAGCTCCAATTTAAAGTTTGGCTAAATCAAGCTCAATATTTCCGCAGAACCCCATCCTTAATTATGCCTACAGTCCTTGGAAAAAAGAAAGCAATGGGGAAAAAAATCACCCATGGGACTAGATCTTTGTTTTAAAATAGAGAGGGGTTAAACGGAAGTCTCTCCATCCAGCAGCATCCAGCAATCACAGAGAAGTAAGAATTTGGACTTTGTTTATATCAAGGTTCGCATACAGATCTAGAGGTTGCAAACATGACCAATCTCTGCTGATGCTTACCTTATTCATGGCCGACGCAAACAAACCGTTATCTCTCGAGCTGTATTCTCGTTCGATATTGAAGATCTACCCTCAAAAGAAACACAAGGTTACTCAAGGTCACTGAAGATATCGGCCGGAGAGTTTTCGAAACTGTCATCGCCGATAATAAAGTTCATGCGGATGACCGCTGTCCTAATGGTAACATGAAATCCCGAGGGGAGGGTAATGAAGGGTCCGATTAAACCAACTGATAACAAAAATGTGGGTGCTCTGAGCCCTCCCGTCCTCCCGGGTATGCTGTTGAAGTGTGAAAAGTGGGCCATGCGAGTACTTCGTCATCTCATTTCGTACTGAGACAATTTTTCTCACATGATACGAAAATCAAACTAAAAAATTCGAATAAACAGAATTTATCTCTAAACCCATGTTCAACAGTTTCAAATTGGAAATCATTTTGTTTCTACAACTGTGTTATCTATTTTCCCCTATTTATTTTCTTCTACGTTACTTCTGTATTATTCATTTCAGTTTTCAAATCGATATGCAATGCAAGCTGAAGCTAAACTCTTTCTTAGTACGTCTATTTGCCGAACTCTGACCTCAGATATCCGATCGTAAACTGCGGTGAAATTCACCATGTAAAGAATACTAAAATAGGCTTGTAATTGCGTGAGGATCCGCGCTGAAGCATATCTCCGACATTAGCTTAACTTTTAGTAATCATGTAAAATGTCATGTGTCGGTAATCGTCCGAAATCGTATGCAACGAAACCCTTCAAAACTGGACGG